AGAGAGAGAGAGAGAGAGAGAGAGAGAGGATAAAATATGGGGAGGATGATGGGGTGTGATTGAGGCTCGCGATGGAGACGGAGGGAGAAATTGGCGAAAATATGTGTACGCGCGTGCGTGAGTAGAGGGATAGAATAAGGGAAGCGGAAGGTACAAGAGAGGGAGAACGAATAACCAGAGGGGAAAGACGAGAAGCTGAAGAAGACAGTCCGGAACTTCAGACGTCTACGGACCTGACCGCAAACCTCGTTCCCTCCCTTTAAGTTTCACACTAGTTTTTTTCGCGCTATCATTTCTCCTGTTAAAGTTAGGCCGCCTTTACCGCAAAAGGGTCCTGATTACAAGATCAGGATGGTCCATGCCGCATCCGATATTAACGAGAAGAGCTATATCCTGGATGCGAGAGAGAACTTCGAGGATGTGAGTAAGCCGTCTCTATCTTATTCTGTTCAACGAAAGTCTTCCGCGTCGACCGAACATGTCCCCATTTCGCTTTTCCGGAACGAATAAAATCGTTGCCGGCAAAGCGATATGCAGATCATTACCGTATTACAAATGAAGAGAGAATGTCTCGCATCTCTTTTTCGTTCTCTTTTCTCGATGTCTTTTTTTTTCTTACGTTTTTTATTACAATAAAATAGAGTAAAAATTATTTGATATCCTGGAATATACCGACAGAATTTAATTTAACTGGAAAGTACAAAAGTTATGATATTTTTATTTCCAGATGTTACATTTTACAAAAAGATTATTTGAATATTTTGCAATTTAAAAGTTCTCGTAAAGTGTCTGTCTAAAGTGAAAAAGAAGTCTTATATTTTGAATTACTTTTACACAAATTTAAACTTTTGTAATGAAAGTACAATATTGATATAGATTAATATTTTTTTAGATATAATTAAATTGATATAACAAACTTGATTGATTGCACTCTAAGCTTCTATATATATATATATATATGTTTATAGCACAATGTAAAATATCTGCATAATATTTCGCAATATATATAATAGATTATACTATTTCTGCTAATTCAAACAAAAATAATTAATTGTCGTAGCGGATTCGATTGGACATAAACGATGAAATCCTCAATATATTTTATTGTGCTATTAAGTAAAATATGTATTTAATAATTTGAAATATTTGCATTTACTTTTACTTAAATTAAATCAATATACAACAGTTTTAATGTACACTAACGCATTTAATCGAATTCCCTATCAGTTTTCATCAGCAACATATGCTGCAAAAGAAAATATGTTCTTTATATTTCTTGTTTATCATAAGATGTTTTTTCCTACTAGAGGAAATTAATTCAGAAAATAAATATATCTCTCGGGATCTTCTAGTTCCAGTCGACACCAACTAAAAGTAACATAACATCCGTGTTATAACTTCACACTCAATAATATAACTGTCGTGTAACACCATGTGTTTTATTTAAAGTTGAGAGGTAACGCATTATTTGAAACGCTGTTATCGTTTTCATTATTCTTGTCGTTTCTTTTTTCTCTAACGATAACAGATTCAGCCATTATTATACTATATATGTATTATACTATATATGTATATTTTACTGTTATTTTAATCTTTATCTTTAATTACTCAATAGATATTATTTTTTTTTAAATGACTAAAATATTTTCTAAAATATAAAAATTTAGATATTTTGTAAATGTTTTGTACTTCATATCTTAGGTTGGATTCTAATAATCACTGCCAATATGTGGCATACATATATATGTATGAACTATTAATTTTAAGTATTGGTAGTGAATATTAGAATGAACTTTTAATAACGATTAATGTTTATAAACAATGTTTAATAAAATCTGCGTTTGTAAATTACAATTTAATTTTCTCATGAAAATAAAGCATTTGTTAAAAAATAAAAATATTAATATAAAGAAGTCTCGAAGATTTATTAGATATAAATTTATAAATAATATAAAGAAAAGCATAAGAATAGCTTAAAATTTTTAAATTGATTTTTTACAAATTAATATTGATTATTAAATAATGTAATTTTTAACTTTAATATCTTACTTTAACATTATAAAAAAGAAATAAATTATTTTCTAAAAAGTAATGGTAATGTGTTGCTTTTATGAACCATTTCTATTCATTTTTCAATTTAATATAACTTAATTCAATTATTTAATATAACTTATTTCAATATAACTTAATTTTAATCTTGATTTCAACTTCTTCATCTATTTTTCTAACAAGAAGAGACTTTAAAATGACCCGATTTGAAATTTAACTGGATTATAGAATATGTTCTCTTGAGTACAAATCATTTACCTTCCATTTGAGTGTCTACCATTTCTGAAATATTTCAATATTAAATTTGTGATAATGACATTTTCTTTAGTTTATTAGAGCATTTATACTCGAGTAATAATTTATAGTGTAGAAGATATGGTAATAGTCTCTTAACTTACCGACTCGAGTTCAAACCACACTAGCAATTAATTAATAATTATAAATATTATATTGTATTAAACGTTCTAATGAACCGTAAAGGGAATGCCATTGTCAAATTTAATATTGAAATATTTCAGATAGTAGACCGTCTACGGCCAAATGGACGATGATTTATATTCAAGGGCATATACTTTTAATCTTGTCAAGTTTCATTAAAATCAGTGAGGGTTCAGAGTCTCCCCTTGTAAGAATTAGAAAAAGATGAAGAGTAAGTTAAATCTAGAATAAAGTTAATAGAAAAATGACATTAGTAACATTCCAACCCTGAACTTATATTACATTTATGTTGAGTGTGAAATTATAGCAGATGTTTTAATTAGTTTCAACTGGAAAGTAGATCATAGCATAGTCGCTACACAATTATCGAGCAACCCCGTCGTGTGATTTGCAAAATAATTTTGCAAACGACACGTTGGAGAATCGCCAGTATCCTCTCAGTTTTGCCACGTAAAAAGTTTATGAGAAAGTTACAACGCCACTTTCGCTATCTTGTTAATTCTATCTGCTCTTAATCCGCACGATTTTTAAGGGCGCAGGAAAGTCGTAATCTTCATTTCGTTTCGCGCGATTTTCTCTCGATTCTCTCCTGCTTATAATCGCGCGAATAGAAACGCGCAATTACGCTTTTTCTTCTTATGCGATTCTGATATCTTCAAGATTGGAAGTTTCCGTCATCTTGAAAAGAAGAGAAAAGAGAGTAAGAGAGTGGGAGAGTCCCTTAACAATTCCATCCGCGATGAGAAATTTCTGCGATGACATTTCGCCCGATACGCTCGTTTCAATCCATGATTTCTCCTGCGCTAGTTTTTTTTTTCTTTCGCAAAGAGCTGTTATGTCCGTCTCGAACTACAGTCAATAAAGAGTATTCGTATGGGTGTACGAACATCCATGAAAGGGAAAATGCGAGTGACAAGAAGGATGAGAAAAGAGCGCATTACCCTTTTTTTTCGATATGTGAAAAAGAAATTGAATATGTTTTGAAAATCGACACACGATTGTCGCTATGACTGACTAATACTTGTTTTAAAAACTCAACAGGTCGGCAGCATCGCATCGGAAGAATCTTATGATGATATGAGACGATTAGTTAGGGTAAGAACTGTACATCTACAAATCTACATGGAAGGAATGATTTTGCTGAAATATCTAATCTAAAATTTAACTAGATGGGGATCTTCAATCAAATTTTTTCTTGATTACAATGTAAGCTGAAGTAATAAATTTATTTCATTCTAGTTAGATACAAATCTGAAAATAATTTGTTAGACAATCAAAATAATTATATAGGACGTTCAAACATAATGAACAATATTGCAAAAAGTTTTGACATTCTAGCAATCAGCTTTGAGTATCTTAATTATTTTGATAGTTAACAAAATTATTTTCGAATTTAATTGTATTTAATTAAATTTTTAGATATTTTTAAGTAAA